AATATAATATTAACTTTTTATAAATATTTTAATTTTAAAAGAATCCTCTAATTAGATTTATATAGAATATATCTTTTTTAAATTTTATTATAATTAATTTTTGAGATATAATTGATTGAATATATCGGAATTGAAAAAATAAAAATAAAAATTTATTCAAAATAAAGTCTAAGCTTTTTGTTATTATTCTTATTTTTATTCTTATTTTTATCTTATCTCTAAAATAATTAATTTTAAACTAATACTATTCTTTCAATTTAATAAATAATTTAATTTTGATTTTATAATTAGAAGATTTATTCAATTCTATTTTCAAATCAATATAAATTTTTCGAAAAATATTAATATTTATTATATTTCGAGATACTGACTATATTAGATTTTATAGATAATTATTATCTCTCTAATAGAAAGTAGTTACTACTAGTAATAACTACCTATTATTCCTTCGGAATAATAGTTAGGTTTCAGGCTATTGTTTGTTTTCTCAACGACAGATATCCAGAACATGGAGAAATGGAAAGTCACCCCTACGATTTTCTAACAATACAGGTGCATTCAAAAAAGTCTCAGGTGGATTATTTGTTTAATAGCCGCGGGAAATCATATACAACTGCTGATCGTTTTACCACAGATCTTTCTCAGAATGCTCGATCATCAACCCCACTTCGACGTTGGTAGCGGACGAAGCGCGTGGCTTGGACAATATGCAGTGCAAATATGAGATTTGAGGAGAGATGGTGTAGATACACTCGACAAACAGAGCGAGCCTAGCCATAGAGACTTGAGCGAAGTTGGACAAATAAGCAGATTCATGGAGGTCACGGCAAATAAGAAACTCGTTCAGAGGACGCTTAGGAAAACCAGATTGCCAGATGACGGTGCGCACAAGGAGTACTGCCCCATTCAAGATATGCAAAATCCAAGGAGTTGACTGTATTGATGACACTAGTGGTCTGCTATGCTACCGATGAATGCTTTGGTAAAGTTGCCGCCAAACCTTCATGAGTAATACTGGCTCTCACATGGCTAACTAGCATATTACTACAGAAACAATGCATTTCACGAGTCGATAGAAGCTTCATATACGGGATAAACCGGTCGCGCTCGCCATCTAGACGGTTAAAACATACGGCAACCATACAGGAAAGCTTTGGCATACAACCTGGGTCACAAAAAAGTCAGGCGCACCCCTTACTTGCAGTCAAACATTGGCAAATACTGCTTCCTGCATATCCAGGGAAATATAGTGACTACTGACCATAAAACTATCGTCGTCCTCATGGGATCATGTCGATTGCGCCAGCAGATACTTCTTCCACCCCTCGAGCCGCATTTCGTCGAGCATTAAATCACACGCAACAACGTCTTGACCAAAACGTTACTAAGAGAACAGCCACGACCCGACTCCCGAGAGAATTTATGTGACCCAGCGAGTACTAATTATCTCAGAGCGACTGCGAGGGGGAGTATACTTTCGATGAGAGTAATTGAGGCCACAATACCGGTATATCCCTCTGGTATTGACAGGCTCGGGACAGGCTCGGGATGGTGATGCAAAATTGCCGAAGCACGGATTACCAGCAGTCGATTTAGTAAAAGACATCAATAAATCCGGCCCCTTTTCCTACAGCCCCTCATAAATGATACACTCCAAAATGAACTTATCTCTACCCACATGCATACTATAATCTTAGTACAAGACTGTGAGGTTGTGCGATGAAGTTGAGTTAGGGGTTACCATGATCCACATATTATGTAATTAAGATTAGTCATGCTTTAATAATCGCCTATTCAGGGCTCATTGCCACAATGCCACCTATTACTGGTATTGAGTGTGGTGGAGAAATCATTCACTACTTGTTATTGAGTCATCACTTTTCGTTAGTGATGATCAGAATTCGTAGGTATATGGGGTTCGTAAGCCTCTTCACATCATTACTTGTCATTTATGAGTACCGTTAGCAAAGAAAAGTTCTTGTTATACCTGCTCGGATCTAGATGCTGAGACCACTGGGTTACATGAAGGATGTGCTAGTATTGTGTAGCATAGTTCAAATGTCAATCGAAGAGCATACAATTATACTGCACTGTCTCCGATACTCTCCCGAATTTTGATTCATATAAAAGAGTATATATCATATTAATTTTTTTATAAAAGCTTCTAGCATACATTTATTCGGATCCAAAACGAGTAATTTGAAAAAGAAAATAGAATCCTCCGCTCGCTAAATTATGAGAGACTGTACTATCCGACAATGACATCTACTACATCCAATACCCTAAAGTCTTGTAATTCAATTTAAATCGACAAGGGAAGCTAACCATCACTCCCAAGTTCTTTCCAAAGCCACCCCATCACCTAGAGCAAGTTCAATCATCCTCTTTTAGAAATCGCGATGAGTACTTCTTTCGAACATAGCGACAAATAGGACCGGAAGAAAATGGTCGTTTCTTGCTCTCTTCCGTCTCGGTTAATTCGTATCGGACCCCGCCAGGACCATCGATGGTGTCGAAGGAGAAAGATTTCATGTTAGCGTTGTAGAATCCGTGCGTGCCTAGGCGGTTGTTTTGAGCTGTGATGTATGATATTAGCGTAATGTTTAAGGGGGGTGAGTATTTGAAGTTGGACTAGTGGCTGTAGATTGGAGTCATGTTGAAGAATTCAAAGCAGTGTTCTGATGTGATGGAAAGCCTGCAGACTGAACTAACTTCTCAAAGAAGACAAATTTAATCCAATAAAAGAACTTAACTTACAACCACCCGGTTCTTCCTCCAGCATTATCTCTAAGAAACCGGCATGAGAAACAATAGCTATCTCATACGGCTCTTCCTCCATAGGAGTCACGGCTCCAGTATTCCCAGACGTGTTGAGTTTCCTTCTTTGAGCCTCCTCTTGAACTATCTTGAACTATCTTGGCAAATCTGAAAAGATGGTTCTTGACCGCCGTGGCTCTCTCCTTATTCCCTCTTTTTTCGGTATTAAACTCCCAGTTAGGTCCACGTACTAGATTGAATGCTAGTTGTTTGCCATATTTCTTCTCGAGTTCGGGTAATGGAGAACCTGTGGAGATTTTGCCGGAGCCCCATTCTGTGAGAGCAGGAAATTAGTCAATGCGTTTGATGTGATAGATGGTATACAATCTTCAATCTCTTACCACGTAGTGCAGGCCAAGCAGTTGTTGCTACATTGCCGCTTTCCATGACATCTTTGAACGCAATGAGGGTGGTTTCAATCGTGCGAGTCATTGGGGAGCAGAAAATGAGCTTGATGTTACTCTTTGCTGGAAGTATAGTTCTCAGTTGCTCGCACTCCCATTTTCCGTGAGGTGTAAGCCCGGAATCTGGGGCTTTCCAGCAGGTTTGTTCATATCCAATGTTGTGATATGCCTGAGAAGCAATAGTAAGCTTGAGGATCTTATTAATTGGTTGTTAGAGAAGATGGGGCTTACCTCTCCATGCCTGATGAAATGGAATATAAGTCAACTACCCTACTTTCGGGCCACCCTTTCACACCAAAAACAGTGATTTTCGAATATTCACAATTCTATCAATATTGAATCTAATTAAATGAAATTTTGAATATATATTCTATATATAGTTATTAGCTCAGCTATAGTTTTTTAGATTTTTCATAATTTTATATAAAAAGTTATTAAAGTTTAAAAATCAAGGTTTTCATTTTGTATACGATTTACATACAAATTTCAAAATATTCTAAAAATCTTAATAACCATTTAACAAAAATAAATAAAAATAAGTATATAATTTT